GGGGGGGCGCTCTGGGATCCTGAGCTGGGGGGGGAGTTGGGGGCGGCACTTCTGGAGGGATTTGACCCATCATCCTCAAGAAACAGGTTGCCATGGCACTCCTGCAGGAGGAAAGACAAGGTGCAGCCAACTTCCTTACCTGCTCCTGTTGGCACCCTCCAAGGCAGCTAATAAGGAATACCAGTGGTCTGGATATTTATTTAATTATTTTATTTTATTTTATTTTATTTTGTTTTGTTTATATTCCGCCCATCTGGTATATTCTACCACTCTGGGCGGCTACCAACAAACATATACTCATTAAAATACAAAACCATAACATAATCAATAATAAAACAGTGCAAAATATAATAAATGATAAATAGCGAAGGAGAAAGAGTTAAGTGCTGGCAGGAGGGAAGGCCTGGGTAAACATCCATGTTTTTAGTCGGGTTTTAAATGTACCCAGCGTAGAGGCATCACGAATCACCGGAGGGAGGTTGTTCCAAAGTCAAGGAGCCACCGCCGAGAAGGCCCAGTTTCGTGTCTTTACAGCTGATTCCCAAAACTGTTCTGTGTAACCTGGAAATTTAGGTCCAGCTGTGTTTATCTTTTGAGCCAAGGGAAACATATTGGCTTCTCTTTGGGTCTAAAGGGCTTATTGTGGTGTAGCGGACAGAGTGGGGAGGAACTAAGATTCAAGAGGCCTGGGTTCAAATCCCTGGCTCTGCCTGGGAAACAAAGAGTGGGTAGGTGGGTGCGTGGGTGCATGTGGAATTGTCTCTCACCCTAATTTCAGCTGTTTTTACTGTTATTTGATGTCAATCTGACTGATTGCAATTGATTTTATCTTTCCATGGTCTGTGACGGGTGAAATAAATAAATGTTAAGAGCTTCTTTTTTAATATGCATAATAATTTTATGTAACATAAAATTATTTTATGTTACATAAAATGTGTAGGCGTACAATGCAATACACCTCTGAAGTGTGCAACCGCTTCTGAGTACTCTCTACCTTCCAAGCCCTGGAAAGCCCTAACCCCAAAGAGCAAGCTCGGAGAGAAGAGGCCTGCCAGGTCGGGTGGGTGTTTTGCCCACCCGAGCACCGCTCTTCCGCTGTTGAGCAGCAGCCGATGCTCCCAAATGGCGCAGGGAAATGGCAGCTCAGCCTTGCACTTAAGAGCAGAATCTAACCGGTTCCCCGGGGACGAGTGCAAAACCGAAGCTGAACCCTCTTTGCAACCTTGG